TTACCTTTTTTAGTATGCAATTCATTAAGATAGACAAGAGCAAGAGTATAATAACAAAATGGGAACCAAATCTAATTCCTTTCCCAACATTGAACCACTAGAATGGAAACAACATTTCCAATTGCCAACAGACTTTTTTTTATAAGACATCATTCTCGGTTGCACGAACTCCAACTAAATATGAGAAAAACAAAAAGGAAGCAAATACCTTGGCATAATTGTATGCATGCCAGCAAAATGGCTCCTCCAAATCAGCTGGCTGAAGATCCTTACTCATTTTCTCCATTAGGAACTCATCTATATTTACCATACTATTATTGTTCCCATCGGTCTCAATATCGCTATCTTCATCAGCTATGCTTCCAAAGGCCGAACTAGAAGGAGGTAATTTTTTAGGTTTCCATGGTGCAAACTGAACTTTCCCAGAGAAGGTTGCCTCAATACTTTTGGTGAGTCCCCTCCCACCCATTACAATCTTCCATTCCACAGAATGGTCTGTAGTGGAAACTATTCCAACCGATGGAGTGCCATCAAAAGATACAACCCTTCTCGTCGGAAAAGGCATAGTCACAGTACAAAACTCCATAGTGAGAGGAGATTTGTAACCATCCATTAGCCGCAGTTTGAATAAGAAATCACCTTTATCTTCAGAGACCATCGACAATTGGTAAAATCCCTTTATGGGAGGTCCAAGATCACAGACTGCTTCGTAACGCATTAGAACAAAATTGCCTAATGGTGGTGAAAACATCACAGCTTGCTTATCAATACCTTTTTCTGGAACTTGAGCACAAGGATGAAATGATAAAACTTCAATGTGATCTTTCAAGGGGAAGGACACATCAGGCAATCCTTCTAATTCTGCTCGACAATTGATTTGACCAGAAATTGATATACTATCTGGAATCTCGTCTCGGTCATACATAGCAGCGTGGACAGTCTCATGAACTGAGAATAGCATTCTCTGCCTTCCTCTGTATAGGTAAGGTTTCCATGCTGGTTGCTTGAGGTCTGCCGGAGGAAGATCTGATTGTGAAAAGCCATTAACCTTAATGGAAATAATATTGGGGAAGCTCAAATCCAACGGTGTTCCTATATGTACGATCAACAAGCACATAAGACACAAACCAGAGACAACTAAATGCAAGGTAATCCACCAAATTGCCACTAGTGATAACGATAGTAAAGAAATCTGAGATGAGAAATACCATAATAAAAAGTACCAACCAAAGGGCATTGAACTACTTATGAAAGTTCGAAGTGAATCTTTATCTAAAGTCCTAGAACCAGTCTTGTGAGCATCTGATGTAACAGTTCCTGTCACAGCACCACTGGAAGGGGTTGAGGACGCAACTGGTGCAGCTACAGGTTTCGCCCTCGAGGAGATGCTTGATATCCCTATACTGCCAGTTAGTGAATCTAACAG